GCCAGATTTGATCTAACTGTTTTTGTAATTAATCTATCTCCCCCCCAATTAGATTTTACCATCTAAACACAGAACTTACATATTTACTGTTTTTTTCAAGAGGTAGTGAATATGCAGAAACTTCTGCAATCTACATGTCCTGACGGATTTTTACTTTTTTTGTTCCTTTAGTAGCTAGAATTTCTGGTTTTATACCAAAGGCTGGTACACAAATAGAGCAGTACGCTACAGACAGAAGCAACTCATGTACATTGGGATTGGCCTTTCTCTCGTCTGTATGTACCCTCACACATGCATATACACACACATTTGGATTCGCTATTAACAGACAATTTCCTACTAAAAATCAATGACATTTTGCATTAGCATTGTTGGGAGAAGAATTGATTGGCCCTTAAAAGGTTGGTTGTGCATTATGTGAAAGAAGCTAACTGCAAAGAGCTAAATTTGCAACATAAAATGTACTCATTCTGCTGGGGAAGCACTATCAAGGCTTTTACCCAGTCTTTCAGAACAATATAGGACATAGCACTTCTTTATCAGACATCTCTGTATTTTACTCTGTTGTTTATTAATTCACACCAGTATAGACACAGTCATGATCCAGTACTGCATACCTGCAAGATTTTAACGGTGCACTCAAATTTAAAGTTGATAACACCTCTTTAGAGAGAAAATTATCAATTTTATGTCAGAAGACTTTGCTAGTCTTAACCAGGAAAGAAATAACTTCTGAAAGTTATTCAGAAAATAAAATATAAGGGGGAACTCAGAAAGCTAATATAATGTACCTTGTACATTATATAGCTAATGTAATTTCTAGCTTTGTGTTCTTTTTTTGAGTACTGAAGTTATTTTAAATAAAATAGATAAAAAGATTCCTCATTGCCACTGTAAATTTTTTTAACACTTTGTTTTATTCTTGAACTCCATCCTTTTAATCTTCTTTTATAGAAGCAAACAATGCATCATTTTGAACCACTTAAATGTACTATGGCAACAGCTTTGTTGGAGCAGCGACTGCTGCTATAAATGGCTTTTCCAGAACTTTCTGGGATACAAACAATACCTGACAAGACATATTTGCTTGCAGCATCATGAAAACGTTTATCCCTGTGCTGCATGCACTAGTGGCCTCTCTTTGCTCCAGGACACGACTGAAGGTTTAGCAAGTTACCAGCACACAGGTCTCTGGAGAACTGCAGCTAGTCCACAGGAATCACTGGACACAGGGTTGTTGGTAGAAATTAGGCAGGATGAATCTGAGCTTTTATCTTCCTTATCCCATATTCTTTTCAGATTTCAAGCACGGCTTTTCTGTACAAAACCCTTCCAAGGGTTGTGCTCAAGCCTGTAGCCACCTGCCCAGTGTTGCCTGAGGTCTCCTAGAGCATTCCTCACTTCAGCCTATTACTGCTTCTCTAAGCTCTCACAGTTTTGCTCTTCTTCCTCTTCTAAAACTTTTTTTCATGTTTGACTGACTTTGGCCTTCTATACCCTTTGAACTGTGAAGAAACACATAGGCTAAAATTTTTCTTTCCCCTTGCTGTGACTACCCCATTGTTCCTTTGCCTTTTTCTCTCTTCTGTACTTGCTAAAGCTTCTTCATCTTCAAGAATCTGCATTAGCCTGCCTGCCTCATACCTTACTGTCCGTCTGTGCATTCAATGTACTTCTCAGTAATCTCCCTGCTTCACCTTTTCTGCCATTATTCTGTGCCTTCTCTCAGGCCAAGCCTTATGCATGAACCAGCGTTCAGTCCTGGTTCCTCAAAACCCTGTCTTCAAATCCGCTTCCTTCCCAATTCTTTTAACTGATTTCCAGTAACCTTCCAAACCTCCTCTCACCAAGCTATTGCTCCTTGCATAACCATCCTTCATTTAAATTAAGATACTACATTCTCCTCTCTCCAGTATATAAACAGTGGAGGCTTGTAAGTGCCACAAAGCCTTATGAATGTATTAATGTAGTAACTGAAGGGCTCCAATTCTAAGGGGGATTGGGACTGCCTACATCTGATGGCAGTAAGAACAAACTTTGAACATAAATGAAGGAAGCACAGAATGAGTTAATACACAGCAAAATTTCAGAAAAGATTGTAGCTGAAAACCATTCCCAATAAAAGGAAAACCAGAAATTAATCTCACACCTAGCTTCAATAATGACTCATTTTAGAGGCAAACTGTAAACCAGCTGTGAACTCTGAACAAGCCCTGAAACAGTATAATTTATTAAGCATCAGGGTGACAACAATCTCCCTTTTCTCTTTAGCATGCCCAAAGTTTGTGTACTTTTCCTCCTCTCCTACTGCTCTGGATGTCTTTAGCAGAGGTTTGCTAAACTTAATCTATACTTGTTGACCAATAAAGCCACAATGGCAAAACCTCCCTATGGAGGAAGTTTATCATGGAAGAAAGTAACTTTGAAGTTGGATGCATGACAGAAAATTAAGCATGTTTTCCTTAGCATAATTACATACACATCAAATTTGTTGACAGTACAGAAAACACAGCCTGAAGCTGTCGTGCTCTTAGGTTTCGCAGCGGAAACTTGGGCCAAGGACTGTATTGCTGAGAAAACTGAGCTACTAACCAGTTCTGTGTGCTGCTACAGAGGATGATGGCAGCAGGTAGATGACATGGTGATATCGCCATAAGAAAGTTACATCAGTTGCCTAAATAAATACCATTACAAGCACTATTAAACATATTTCAGCACATTTAATGTATTTCACTACATCTCATACTGTGTAAAATGTAGTCACGTAGCAGCATCAGTAGGGCTACATAAACGCTGCCTTCTGCACACGAGCCAAAACCTAAGCCTCAACCCAAACTCACCTTACACCAGATGTGAGCATCAAGGATACTTGTGGCCAGAGAAGTAATTCAGTCCATGCTAACTTGAAGTTTAATCTCACCTATCTGCATTGACAACATGGTGTGCATGTAAGCCAAGACTTTCCAAAGAGTTCCCCATATAGCCTATAAAAACAACTGGCAGCATCAGCTGGCCAGCATCAGGGAAACAAGCTGGCTAGGCTCCCTCCTACAGGCACTTTATGCAAAATGCTGTGAAGTACTGCAGAAGTTGCAGACACCAGAACTATAATTTTCCCCAACGCTGCAATTCTTCACTTTTAAGTGATTTCCCCATTTGTAAACAATAAAACAAAGGCTGAGTATTTTCCTGGCAGGATGGTGGCATGAGGACTAGTTAGCATTCACACACAGCTTTGACAGGGATGGTACCTGCTGTGAAAAGGACACAGCACTTATGTGTCATGTGATTAGCTCTGGGAGAAACACCAAAGCAATGCTCAGGAGACATTTAGCAGCTGCAGAATAGTTCACACTATCTCCCTGCAACAGTATATAGTTCAGTTCAATATTAATAATATCTGAAATTATCTACTTTATCCAATTAGGTTTTCATTTAATTAAAAAAATCCAATGGTTCTTTAAATGTATTTAGCACACAAAAATGGTAGAAAGTTTGCTGTGCACCAGTTAATCCCACCCTTGTTCCAGTGAGTGCAGCTCGATTTACCTTCTCCACTTCATTTCACTTCTCACTCACTCTGCTTATAATCTGGTTCTCCAAGAATTTTAGTTTTCTGCGACAGGTTGCAAGTAAGAGAGAAGTAGTAGGAACACTCACAAATGATACTGGAAAAAGCTTTGGATTATTTAAATTTTTTTAGTCTCAGCATTGAGATGCCAAAATGGGATGGATATGTAAGTACACTTTAGTTGTCTCTAAAGTGAATTAGTAAATTTTGCAATGAAAATTGGAGATTAGTAGTTCGATGAATGGTTTATGGCATTCAGTGGGTTGCCATACGCTGTGGGTCACATCTTTTGAAGGAGATTTTAATCAACTCAAAAGACAATATGGCAACTGGCAGCCTTTTTCTTTATTGAAGCAAAGTCACAGCATTTTCATCACTATTCCCCTCTTGTGAAGGGAAGAGTTAAATGAAGGCCCCTGAAATTTACATTACTAACAAGTAAAGGATTGAAGAAAGAGATTACAAGCATATTTCTCTAAAATAAATAATCTACAAAGAGTGCTTTTTCTTCTTAAAAGCAATCTAAAAATGTATAAATTCTACGGTAGGGAGATCAAAAGATATTTTAACAACTTTCAATATTTACAAACAATACAAAAACTGCGCACGCCATCAAGTGATGCAAAATTCTTCTTAAAAATTAAAAGCTTCATTCCTACTAAGAACCAAAAACTGCAGCCAATATCTCAGTTTTAATTAATGGTCTTCTTGACAATTGGAAAACCGTTAAATGTTTTTATTATCTGTAAAATATACAATAAAACCGAACCTCACTAAATTATTAAGGTTAAAAAAGAAGAGAAATACTGCAGGCAAATAAAAAAGGAAAGTAACTGTAACTTATTCTTTGGTAACCAAAAGTTAGCAAGTATCTGTATTTCAAGTGATGAAAAGTAATAATCTTCCCATTTTGACAAATGGAAGAAAGACTTCTGGCAAAACACAACTCCCAGGTTTCAATTTTGAAAGACAGGCCCCACCTACAGCTCTGTAGTGCAAGTTCTCAAAGTCAAATTTTGCTTTCTAATTCAGAAATGCAACCCTTCCAAACTCTGGCAGTACACTGCTTAATTCTTCTCCCACTTTTCTGTTGTCTGCTGGCATCCTCCGCACACATCCAGTTGTTCCAGTTCTCTAAGGGAATACTCTAGTCAAGGAAGCAATTCACTTGGAAATGAGTGTTTCACCAAGCTACACGTGGCTGCATAGCAGCTAGCAGTGTGCTATAAAACTCAGCTCCCTTTTGCACGTTAACTACGTATTTCATTTTCCCTCAGGAAAAAAAAAAAAAAGTACCCTGGACCAATTCATAACCTGGTGACCTAACTGCTTTAGCAGGACACGCTTCATTGAACACTGGGGCACACCCCAGTAATAAGCCATGTAACCCCAGCACCAACCTACTACCTTCTCATAGGTGAATGTGCCTCATCGTGCCTCCCTCTGCTTAATGAACACACTACGCGCTGCGCCACTACAATGCTTTTGAAGCAGATGTCCAGCTTGTACCACAGGAGCCTTCCCATTCCTCTTTTTTCAGGCTTATTCCTAAATTTTGCTTGCACAATTGCAGTCTCAAGAAAAAGAAAAACTTCACACCCCTACAGGCTCTGAGAAAACTCCCCCCCCACAAGAGGACTTCTAAGGCTTTACACAAAAAATTCAACCGTTAACTTTCTTTAAGCCACAGACCACTCATTCATAGCAAGTCCTCCCCAACACAACCATGCAGAACTATCATTGCTTTAGCATTTAAACACACACATGCAGTTCATGGAATAAATGCTCAGCAAAGTAAACTTGTCCTGGTCTGGGCTTTCTTCCGGAATCTAGTCCTCTGTCATTTTCTAGACTAATATCCAATGCCTTCTGTCACTGCCTTTTAACTTTCTTCAGCTGAAGGGCTTAGACACTTCCTTGAAGTACCTGGCTGAGTCATTAAGTCTAGATGGGTTGGATCCAAGGTCTCCTTGCAGCCGGCCTCCTCGGCATATGGAAAGTCATTCGTGTCCATTTCATCGCTGTTAAACATATCAAGCTGCCTCTCTTGCTGCTCTTCCAAAGTCCTTCGGACCCTGCCCTCTGACTGTTCCACCACTTCCCCGTCTCCTTCACTAATGACAGTCATGGGGCTGCTCTGGATGCGGTTGCGGACATTGTACTTGCTGCTGGCAGCAGAGGGGGGTGTTCGTGACCGGCCGTACCTAGTGCCAGAGAAGGACATGCTCCTTGGCATCAGGCCCTCGCTCTTGGCCCACTCCTCCTGGGCCCGTTTGCTCTTGCTGGGTGAGCAGCTGGCAGGGCTGTCGGAAAGGTCAGGGGAGGCATCCGTCTTCGTCCGGTGGAACCGCGGGTCCGTGTTCTTCAACATCTCTGCCGCGGACATGCGGGAACTGGTGTCGCAGCGGCTCCCCTTCTTCAGCAGCAGGGCTTTGAAGTTGTCGTTGCTGGTGCTGCTCTTGCGAATGCTTCTCTGAATTGATCCGGCTTGTTTGAGGGTAGCTAAGGTTGGGGAAGCACCAGTGGGAGTTACGGGGGGCGATGGAGAATGGTTGCGGGTACGGTCGTCTTCAGAATCTTTACGGCCAAGGACTTTCCTTTTGGATCTGATTTTGAAAAACAACAGAAAAAGAGGACCAAACAAAAAATGAAACTTTTTACCTCCCCTAATTAAACTCAGCGTAGAGGGATGACAATGAATTAAGCTAAAGCAAAGAGAGGAATAAGGGAGAAGTAATCTAAATCTAAAGCATGAGTAAGAACACCACCAAAACTGTATAGGCATTAATGCAGGTATTGGAGGTAAAAGCTAAGTGTATTGTTCTTTTTCTGCAAATCTGGAACAATGAAACTACTAAAACCAGCAATTCTGATGTCCCAAACACTTAAGCAAATTTAGTGAATCAGGTTTTCCGGAGTCAGTATTCAATTGCTAAGACTAATGCATTATAAAGATTATACTCAATGCCATTTTTCTGTTAGTTTGGGGATTTGATTAAAAATATGTAATCTAAAGTATGTTGGGTTTTTTTGTTTTGTTTTGTTTTACTATTTCATTTGATGCTTTCTGGAGAATTAGAAGTGTAGTTTAGTGCACTTGCCTTTGAAAGGGATATTGCAACGTACTCCTGCTGAAGTTAAGATGGAGTAAAGTGAGCCACATGTAAGCATTCTGGATTAAATGATTAAAAAAAAATTCCCCTCCCCAACCCAAACATTAAATGAATACTGAAAACTGAGTTTTCCAGCTTCTATTAAGATGCACAGACAAAATTCACAGTTCTGTTGGTGCTCTGTCATTGCACAACTTGTTGACTAAATGAAGGAGAGACCAACTTCCTGACATGAAAGTTATCTTTCCAAATGAAAGGGCGGAGCGTTTTGTAATTTAAATGTAAAGTGCAGGGGCAACAAAAACAAAATTAAGAAACAATCATGGAACTGGGAATAAGTGGAAACTGGACTTCTATTGCCCCATTTTCACATTATTTGAAATCTTAAAGAAATAAATGTACTACATGCCTGGTATCTGTAGCAAAGCTGCTTTGCTTCTTTACAGACTAAGCAAAAATTAATTCAAAAAGATTGTATAAAGGCTAATTTTACATATGCTATTTTGGCAAAAGTTTAAAAGAAGTCAGCAGACTTGTTACAAATACAACATTATCATGCTATAATTCCATTTTAATTTTTATCAAGTATGTGTTCAATACAGACTGCTCCCCCTGTAAAACAGGTTTCCAAGTAACATGATCTTTAGCTGTATACTTTCTTAAAGGCCTTGAGATTTTGCAGAGGCAAGCTCAAATGTCTTTTTGCATTGCGGCCTACTGATAACAAAAAACCCCAGAAAACAAAGTAGCAGAATCCATCAGCTGAGTAGGTGGCAGCAACAGACATTGCCATAAACTCTGCCAAGACTTTGGAGCGATCCTGTCTCTTAAGTGGTGAAGTTTATGCACAGATCACTCACGATACCCCCACAGGCAGCTGTAACAGCTGTTATTTTCAGCTGCTGGTGCCTCCACCTGCCTTTCTGGAAGAAGAATATAATACCGAAATCCATTCAGCCTGAGGATGAATGGACACCAGAAGATAGCATAGGGATAAAACGATCACTTCAGTAGTGGCAAACATAAGAACCTTGTCTAGATTTAACTGTCTATCAGTGCCATAGGCAGCAAGTGAATTTGGTGCTTGGATGCTCTGCGAGTCTGTACACGAACATGCGTGTGCATTAGTTACAGGGAAAAGATTTCCCTTCGTTAGGGTTTTGGCTGCCTAGGGGTATCTTTAAACACTGCAATGCTGGGCTTGTACTGCTGCCAAAACCTAAATGAAATTCCAAATAAACAAAAAGAAAAATTCAGTTGCAAAGATCTGCAGGGAAAGACTCAGTTATCCTGACTTGAACGAATTCAGTAAGACTGTGAATGCAGCACAGAGCAGTCAGTCCGCTGTCAGCATCTAACCAGCTTTTCTCAGCATGTATGGATTGTGGCAGAAAGTTAAAAGTAAGAACCAAATTTGGTTTTGGTGGCTTTTCAGACAGAGATAGGGTATATATTCAAACAAAACTGTGACTTAAACTTGGATTGCTCTTCCTGCCCTTAACGCACATACCACTAAATTTCTCGCCTTACTCCAAAGCACGTATTCAAGAGTGCCAATCACTGAAATAATACCTTTTAGAAATAGTGGGGGGAAAACCAAAACATTTTTTATTAATTAACAACCAAGGAAGATAGTGGTTCAAGTCTAAAGCCAGCAAAAGCAAGGTCTTAATAACAAATGTGTCAAGCAGTTTTAACTATGTCACATCCAGTTCCATTGTCCATTTCCCCATAAACTCATGAATTACATGTATGTGCATACACACAGAGATCCACTCTCTATCTGCATACATAATGGAAAGGCTACTGGCCAGAATATTTCATTCTAAAAATAGATTTGTCGCAGTCCTAGTGAGTGCCATGCAACATGAATGCAACAGACCATTTTTAGAACAGCTCCTACAGGCCAAGTCCTAAGGAGTAAGCGTAACTTATAAAAAGTCAGAATCATCTATATATAATTTTTGTAACATCTGAAACATAACCATTTCAAAAATGAAAAAATAGCATTTGCATCCCAAGTGCCGCAGTCTCCCAGCTCCCAGCCACATTCTCACAACAGGCTTTTCCCGTCCCTCAGTACTCCTGACGCAAAACTCAGGCACAGATGCGCAAACTGACTGAACACCTAGATAAAGCTGTGTGGATGCTGCCAAGCACTTTCTGTGACCAGTTAAAAGAGATGGCCCCTTTACATTTTAAGTAAAAGACAAAGCCACAAGATGGCACTACCACTACATCGATTCTAGTCTAAAAGCAAGCTCAGTAGTTCAGAGAGTGGTAATGGTCTTCTGTGTGTACTGTTTAAATGGTGCACACCTTTCATTTTCCGGTTTTAAGCATTTTTTTCCTTTTCTTTTTATGACAACCTAATGTGAACAGCACAAAAATCTAGTTGCCTATTCAGGATGATTCTGTTTTTAAGGGAAATGAATAATGTCATTAATAATAGAGCCAGTACTGCACATTTCATTCATTAACCAGTTTGACACAAAACACCCGACCTCAGGCTGGATTATGGCAAACTATAATCCAGCGTTTGCCATATGTTTTGCCATATGACTGACATGTTGTGTTACTTGCCAGTTTCAGCCACGCTTGCCATGAAGCATTAGCGTTGAGCCTCTGTCCCAAACTGCACCATATAAGCAGCGAAGAGAGTAAAAAGAGATGGAGAAGAACGAGAATGAAAACAAAAAGATACACAGAAAAAGCAACAGTAGAGTTAATATGGCAGATCGAGAACAGTACAATAAATACTAGATGTAACTTGATATTTTAAGGGGCAGGATATTTATAATATAATCTACATTGATTTCATCTGGTAGCTTTTAGTTCAGAATGGATTAAATATATTTGTAAAACAATAAAACAAAAGTTCTTTTCCTTATCTTTTTCATACATAGCCTTAGTAGAAAGTTGATAAATGTGTGCTTTCTGTTAAAGCAATGACTGTTGTAATTGAGTGTTTTAGTAAAACAATGTTAATTAAATTTTGAGAGAACTACTGGACCTGACAGTATGGAAGGGCAATTTCTCCAGTACCTGTGAATGGCTGCAAAAAGATCCTCAGTAGTCCTTGGTCTTGCTGGTGTTGCCACTCCGTCCGTCTCTTCCCCATAACTATTGCTCGGCAGGAATGAACTATTTGCTGTATCTGATTCAAATACCTCTGCTATGCAGAAAGAATGAACAATACTGTCAGTCCATCGTGGGAACCCAGCAGGCATATAATGCTGAAACTAGCCCTCGCTGCCTCTAAGGCAAAGCATCTGAGAGATTTAGCAAGTGCACCGTTGTCACTATTGTCATTTCAGAACAACGCTTAGGAAACTGCAGTGCATGAAATGCCTACACTTGCTCACACGCACAGGCGGAGAACAGTACTGAAAGAAAATTTGTACGGTTTCCACTAAAATGCAAAATCAAAATTAACAAAGCCAACCATGTGTTCATAGCGTGTTTTAATCCCAGCACAGTTAAATAAAGCATCATTTTCTTTCCATGTCTGCAATAATGAGAAGTTAGAAAGGAATTCTAAGAAATCTCATAAAGTATTAATCGGATCCCTGCAACTTTCTTCAGGCTTTAATTTATAACTATCGCAAGAGGTTCTTTTCTCTACAGAAACTCACCTGAATGCTAGGATTGCTATTCTCGCTCCCCAGCTTCTTTAAAAATAGCTACTGCTACATCTGAAGAAGAGTCAGAGAAGAGAGACTCACCACTTTCGTTCTCTTGAGACAGGTGCCCGTCAGCGTTGCTGCCGCTGTCTTGGCTGCTGCCTGAACTGCTTCCTTCATCAAAAGCGGACTGCTCCTCCTGCCTGGGTTCTTCTTGAACTGGTGATGCAGAAGGCTGCACCACAAAGGCATTAGCTCCCGCTGTCTCAGAGAAGGTGAATCCGGCAGCTCCTCCCTCAGGAACCAGGCTGCCAGAGTCCATCTCGCTAGAAATGAGTCCATCTGTAAGACAATTTCTCGCCTCCTCGCAGTGTGCAAGCACAGCGTCTCCCTTAGTTGGGCTTGATGTGCTTCTGACAACATCACTCACTTCAGCTATTTTCTCCACTGTAAAATCTAACTGTGGAGGTGGTACAACAAGGAACAGTTTGGGTTTCTTTGAAATAGGAGGTGGTTTCTTGCTTGGCAGTATAACCTGAGTCTTGTCGGGAGATGCTGGTGACCCCTGAAGCGACACGCCAGAATGGAGCTCTTCGCTCTGCACCGAAGACTCAGGCGTGTCTTCAGCAGCTGTCCCCAGTGAATCAGCTTCAAAAGACTTGTTTAGACCCACTGCACTTGCAGGCTTTCGATCACTGTCAAGCACAGGTACGTTATCAGAGAGAATGAGAGGAGAACCCCGAGCCAGTGTTTGAACTGAGTTTTTAAATGAAGTGCCTTGAGTTTTCATTTCCTCTTCGCCTAAGCTGTTACTGAGTCTTAGTGAGAGAGATGGCTTTAGGGAAGACTGTGATGATGAATTTACAGTACCCTTTTCCTGAGAGGTGGTTTCAGAAGCAGATTCAGGTGATGGCTCACCTTCTGTCGCTTTTTTCACGGACCTCAGCTGCACCATTTGCAATGCTTTGGTAGTTACTAAAGGCATCACAGGTCTCGACGGGTCTTGCTTGTTGAGTGGCTGCTTCACTGGACAGTAGCAAGAATCTTCCTGGTTACGTTTCTTAAAAGAATACTGTGGGTATATTGTTGCACCCTTTGTTAGTTTGGGATCAAGAGGTGGTGCTGGTGGCGGGACAGCTAAGGGGAAAGTAGAAGGAGGAGGAACGGGGGAGGAGAACGAACTGATGGAGGCTTCTTGCGGAAACCACGGGACAGTCTGGGCAAAGGAAGAATTTACATCAGCTTCTGGTGGAGGAGGGGGGAACGTGGGAGAGGCTGGCAATGATGACAGATCCATGACTTCTGCCGGAGGAGGAGGAGGAGGCGGAGGGGGAGGAGAAAGTTCGGGGCAATGCGGAGGAGGTGTTGGAAGAGGAGGTGTTGGCGGAGGTGCTCCAGAATCCGGAGGAGAGCTCAGGGTGGGGTCCAATTTCTTCACACTCACGCTCCCTTCAGTAGATGTATTCGAAGAAAGAGAAGTGGAGGATGAAGACATGGAGACTGAAGACAGAAGAGAGGATTTCCTTTCAGGCACTTTAGGCTTCAGCTTGGACTTCCCATTTCCTGATGATGCAGATTTTAAAACTACAGGCACTGGAGTAAGCGCAGTGGGTGTATTGGACTGGCTGGAGTACCCACTCGACGGCGACGTGACTCGGTGGGATTTCTCTGGAGAAGTGCTCTTTGGTTTGGCCAGTCCACTGGGCACTTGTGGCACAGAAGCCCTTGAGCCATCACTGAAGTGGCTGATGCTGTAATCGCTGAGAGCAGATGATGTACTGGCAGAATGGGTCACTGAGGATTTTACCTGGTCATCTGTCACTGCGGCATAGTCGCTGTAGTAACCCCACTGGTCGGCGTACTCCGACTTGATGCTACTTGTTTCACTCTGAGAGGGAGTGACTGTGCAGATGGAGTACAGGTTTGGAGCAGTGGTGGACATCATGCTACTGCTTGCACTGACCGAGCTTTGGCTGCGGGAGCGCAACACCCAGGGATCCTCATAATCACTGCAGGGGCTCTGGGAAGGGGAGCTGCCATTTTTGCACTTGAGATTCAGCTGCAGAGAATGCTGGAGGGTGGCAATGAGGGTTTCATCAAGTACCTGTCCATTAGACTGGGCTTTTTTCTTGGGCAACCTTCTGAGCGAGTCTGTTCTGGATGGTGGCAAAGGTGGCTTCTTTGCCTTTTTCAGAGAGATGTTTCTTGCAAGGGATTTCTCACCTTGGCCTGACTGGTCATCCTGATGTTTCTTCTCCTTTCCTTCAAAGACATTTATCACGCTGTCTCTGGGGTTCCCAAAACCATTAGTACTATTGCATGGCATATCTGACTTCAGTCCCGAGTCCATATGCACGGAACCGTAATAACCATCGTGGTCCACAGAATACAGAGAGGTAGAATCGTCCCTGACCGAAGTCCTCTCCAGGCTGCTGCTGCTCAGGTTGCTGCCGGGAGTGGCACAGCCTGGTGTGGTACAAACCACCTTGCATGAAGGAGTCTCACTGTTTTCTGCAGACTTGTACAGCCAATGCTCTGTGCTGCTCACTGCTGCTTGTGCTCGCTCCCCTGAATAGCTAGATTCACTCCTACCATCGCTGTCCTGGGAAGGGTTTGGTAAAGCAAGATTGTTCCTACAGCTGTAGCTGATGCTCTGAGACCCAGACTCCGCATTTCCAGGAGTGCTAAGAGAGACAGCAGAGTCACCAAGAGAAAGCATCATGACAGTATTAGATGGGATGGTATCTGAAGTCTGTGAGTGACGTGTGGAGCTACTCTCACTCCAGTTACCGCTTGAAGAATGGTGATCTTCTTTCCCACTTACTGCACTGCTGGCAACAGGATTGTCTCTTGGCTTTGGGTAGGCAGTGGAGCTGGTGATTTTACTATCCAATGAACCAGCACTCTGGGCAGTGTGAATAACGATAACTTCTGAGGAGGATGACAGTGTTGCATTGGGTATGATGCTTGTTGAGTAGGTAGCATGAGGAGAGACCACACATGCTGGGCTTGCGGACTTTTCGCTATCATAGCTTCTCACCTCTTGAGACTTTGGCCTTGACAGGGTCCCCGTCGTGGGATTATTCCTCAGATGCACGACGCTATCATCCACTTGCAATTTACTTATCTGGTGGGGTAAAGTGCCAGCGATGTCTTCTGTCTGCCTAGAGATGCTCTGTGTCTGCTCTAGGGACTGCAGAGACACTCTCGCACCAGCCCGAGGCAAGCTGTGAAAACCTATGTCGCTGTTTTGGCGAGAAGCAAATATAACTGCAGCAGAATCACTCATCACTGACATGTTTCCAGATGAACTGGAGAACTGAGACATCTGGGCTGCAATGCCTTGTCCTTTCTGCGCGCGTATTCTTCTCATCGAAGGGGGCACAACTTTAACTTCCTCCGTCTGGCAGCTGGTGTCCTTGGTTTCAGAGCGCTGCATAGCAGAGCGATAGCTGTCTAGTCTCCCTAGCGTGGAACAGTGATCTGGGACATACATCGAATGCCCTCGGAAATCACTTTGGCCAGTGCCAACTGCTGGAGTCAAAATAAAATAATTATTTCTTGAAGCACAAATTCACATCTATCTTCTTACTCATTTAGAAACAAAAAACCCCAGCAAACTGCTCGATCCCCATGCTCTTGCAGGTTATACCTTCTGAAAAAGAATCTGCAGCAATGGCTTTTGCACAGGCATCATGTGTTTTCTGCATTTCTCTTCCCTTTTTCCTTACTACCAGGAACCTTCTGCTTACAGAATCGTCTGTGTTCCTGCCGCACATTCGACACATGAAATCCTCTGTTTATGACATGGTAATGATTTCCATAGTAATCAGTTATGTCAGAAACCAAGTAGCACTGTTTGACTTCCAGTAGGCAAAGCAGCAGGAACAGACAAAAGCCTGAGAAACGTGAAGTGTGTTTCCATGCTAATGCCTCATGCAATAAAGAAAAGGGGAAGGAAATCCAGAGACTAATGTGAATAATCAGATCTGCTTTTTAAAAGCATTACAGTTCAGAAAAAAAATTTCAGGAGACACGGATAGCTCTCCAAGTCTTGCAGTTTGTCTGAAAGGAGGCTGACACATTGAAACATGCATTATTTTACCACAAGTAATATATATGCTATAAGAGCATTTATACAAAGACATTATCCAACACTACAGAGAAAATCATTAAATAACATTTTTCCATACAACTACTTTCTATTTATCATAAAGGAAAAACTCTAAGAAGTGGGGAAAAGAAACAGCTAGTACTGATGGTCGTCTCATCCTCAGCACCGTCAGGAAATAAAAAATAACTGTACTTTTTTTTTAAAGAAGTAATAATCATATATTGGCATAAAAAAAACCCTTTGAGGACAACAGAAAAGCAGTTTTAGTTCAAAATATAGTTATCAATGGGTCAGTAGAAAGGACTCTAGGGTTCTTTTAAATTTACATTTTTATTGGTAGCTGCCTTTTAAAATCACAAACCAGAGTACTGCTTTAAAATTAGCCTGTGTATAGCTGTTGCTTTTCAATTCAGTTGCATTACTGTATAAATAGCAGACACGAGAGGCAGGCGAGCTGCTGGAGATGCTTGTAAGGATGCTGCATATGTAACTGCGGGGGAAAATTGGTTATTTCAAGTCTCCGCCTCAGCTAGTCTCAGGAGCGATGAAGTAGCATGCTTGATAGGACTGCTCTCCTTTCATATTTACTATATGGAGTTGGATCAGGAGAATAGGTATTCTTACCATGCAGCTTTAAACACCACTTAAAGGACATTTAATTATCCTTATTCTTGGCAGGCAAAAGAGGCATTTAGGATAAGGAAAAGAGGGCTCTGAAAAGGCTACAGTGAAAGCAGTACACACAAAAAGATTGTTTACTTCTTTTCTCCAGGCACATAAGTAGTCTTTTAGCAGCTTGAAGCCTGTTTAGTTTGCTTTGTGTAGAATCTCTTGCTCTCATGAAAACCGTAGCCTCTTTCTGCTTCTGGTAGAGGTTTGCAGCAAAGCTAGATACTTGGATGCTGGCAAGCATCTTGGATAATCTAATATGAGATACTGTCAGAACAGATGGACTACTGCAGCCAACCAAGAGGGGTATTTGCATATTTTGTATAGTTATTAAGAAGCTTTAATTTTGCTTTCTCTGTGTATTTTTTCTATAGAATCAGTGTCCCCCTTTGGTTAAGGCAAAGAAAAACATCAAAGTAGACATTATGAATGTTTCTGGAACCATGACATCACCGATGACAACTGTTAGCCAATTAAAAATATCCGCTAATAAAAATCGGCGTACTAAGTTATGTAAATAACCAAAGAGATGGGGTATTTTTCTTCTTTCTACCACTGTGAAAGACAAACATGCACACAAATACACACACACACAAGATAGGATGGGGCTGGTGGAGAATGAAGCTGTCAGCACTACACCAAGTATCTAAAGCTGGCACATACTGACCTGTGGCTGAGAGCACCTCATTTCAGTATGCAGTATGTTTGTATTCACGAAGGAAGCTAAACGCACTGTATTTCACAAGCAGATGGATGGTTTATGCTTGTTAAAAACGTTACTGCTAGGGAAGGTAAATGGCAAAGTGGAACGACAGTGGACTTGCTAACCTCCCCTTTCCTCCTCCCAAACCCAGGAGTGTTGGAATGCTCACAAGGGGGGGCAGCATGAACAACCGCAGGGCACTGCTGAGCATCCCTGCTAACCCTGTGTTTGTTACTAGAACAGGGGTCCAGTCTAATACACTCATGGAAACTGCATAAACTGACTCAAACCTTTACAACCTCGATACCGCAGGGAAGCCCATCAGGGCAGGCCTTTGCACCAGTGCAAAGCCTCCTGTAGTTAGAACGGTTCAGAGCCCAAATAAATACAGGGTTCAGAGGGGGCAAGACAGCCCAGTCTCAGAAGTATAAACTACAGGGCTACATGCTTCAATCATTATATGTGATACGGTCAGGGAAGGGACTTCTCACGGCTGTTGCTGCTACAAAAATGCAACTTTAAGGTTTTAAATATTTTTTTGTAGAAATGCAGCATATTCTGAAATTACTTCAGCTTTGGTTTTGGCTTTACATGTATGCACAATCTCATGCAAAGCTGTGAGGATTTACTTGCCCTTTATAATACAGCAATTGCTCTTTTTACAGTTCCATTTCCTGAAGAGGGACAATAGAAATCTGCAGGGAAAATGGTTCAAAAAACCAACTAAAGGAACATTTAAGACTCAGGTATTCTCTTAAAATGTTGAGGGTTTTAAGATTTTGGTGGAATTCAGAGGAGGGTAGCAAGGAGTATTTTGTTTGTAATTCACAAACGCACTGTAAAACCCCCACTTCCAGAGAAACACTGAAAAGCACGTTTTTTCAAAAACCCTTAAAATGAAACTGCCTTTGTTGGTACTGCAGCTAGAAGATGAACAATCCAATTCTAAGGGACAGCTCAAACCTTTAATTGACTATTACACTGAAAATGCTATGTCTCTCAGAAAACCTCTACTTAAATAAAGAGCAGTCAGAAGTTACAAGGTTTCTGCAACACCAAAATTCTGGAACTGAATCAGAGCTTTTGAAGAATACCATCCACAAGTCCATCTAGTTGCAGGGGCGATGTCTGAGCAGACAGCAGCAAAAAATATTGCAGAACTGGACATCAGATTACAGATGCTGAATGTTATGAAGTCAGAAGTGGCTGCAATTTGGTGGTTTGATAAAGGTGGCTGAAAGTAATTAATAATCATCTTGTTTGCATCTTATATTATCCTGTGTCCAGTAGCCCTGCAGCCAGTGCTATGTCCACCACAGGAGACCTGTTATCTCCACTCCTGTCTTCTTTATTACCCTACTTCTTGCTATGCTGAAAATGCTGAAAATACCTCTTGAGGCAAATGCTCTTCCCTAATGCACATGTTCAGTGTAGACTCCAGAAGTGAGTAGAGAACACCTACTATCTGGAACAAGCGAAACATGCAACATATTTAACAACTCTTGCATGGAAGCACAGAGAAGAGGTTCAAATACATACCTTAGCTCCAAGCACTTGATCCAAGATAGGCATATACAGGTTACACCAGTTTTCCCTGACTCTGGTAGTTACTGGTGTTGCTCGTTAGAGATGACAGGGATTGAGACTGACTGCATATTTGATGGAAAAAAGAAAGTGTCTGCATGTAATCCCTAGGGCCAGGTAATAGCTACTAGAAGGCTCCCTATCTCCCTGTGACTCTGGCTGATCTGGTGGCACCTGCAGCTTGCTGCAGAGAATCAGCAGAAAGGTCCTCTGTTTTGAAATGAGCGTAGAAAACTGAGGATTTGAGAGGATAAAAAGTATGTGTGTTGATATCACAAAGAACATGCTTGTTTCAACTAGTATATAGAAGTAATCTCTCTTCCACAACTTCTTCTGACTAATCATTTCTACTATAAGCATTTGTCTCTTGTGCCACAGGCACATTCCTAAGATTTGTTGCTTTCATCTTCTCCTCATGCCCCACCTAGCAATCCTCCTCCAAACCTGGTGGCCTGGCCAAGTCACTGTGCAGGCACCACAACTTCCAGTGTTACAAAAAACCCCAGAGATTTTTCATCTATTTTACCCTAGTACTTACATACCAAATGATTGTTAATAGACACTCAACAAGAAACAGACAAGTACATCAGGCTTATGGTAATTCTCAGGAATTTTCACTGTGTTCCATGAAGCATCTATAATCTCTCAGAGGGGAGAAAAATATCGCAGAGAATCCTGTGATACTTTTCAGTACGGCCAGCCAAAAAATACCCTGAATCCTTGCACATACCACTGCCACCACGAAAGGGTGAATTTTGATGAAAATATAGGGAATTTAAGTTTTCTTGATCCTGTTAATTTCACTACCTGAACAGCCTCTGGTAAAGATTATATTCCTGGCACCTCTGTCTTTTATCTCCCACTATCAAAAAGCAGATGATACATACTTTGTAATGCCCTGGTCTCTGGATGAGTAGTGCTGGAAACGTACAATGTTGAGAAACTACAGCGACAAAACCAGTAATTAGTTAAAACGCACAATAACTCTTGAGAGATATTCTCTCCAAATGCTGTTCCAAGTTGCAACTTGAAGCAGGTGCAGAATTACTTGGCTTGAACAGCCGGGTATTTGCATGGTATTTCTGTAGGACCACTGGATATCTGGGACTCTTCTAACCTGTGGCACCTATAACTTGAATGACTGCTAGTGCCAAAGGAACTAACTGGAGAAGAATATCAATTAAAAGGAGTCTTCAACAGAACAGCTGAGTTCCCAAAGATCAGGACTTATGTGCCCCCCATGTTGCTGAGATGGAACTGTTTCCTCTAAGGTGTGTCAAAGGAGAAGCTTCAGCAGTCCCAAATGAAATCTGGGACACCGGCTGGTACTAACAGGGGGTCTGAGCTGTGCTGCAAGAAAGCAGATGAGGGACTGATGGTTCAGGTATCAGTCATACCCATCCTGATGACTGACAGGATGACTGACGTCTACTGTCATCCTGTAGACGACAAACCATTGTGAGC